CTTTTTGGAGACAATATGGTACACATTCTTACGCATATCCAAGCAACTGGAGTTGGGGATGAACAGGTCTTTATCTATAGTGGCAGACAAACTTCAGATAGTGTCTTAGCTTCAGTAGAAGTATGACTAATCCGGGTAAATTTGAAGAGAGACAGGTGAAGATAAGTGGTTATAATATGTTAAGTAAACCTGTGTAACACTTTTGAGATTAAAAGCTTCGCCAGTAAAATCTGTGACAGTTTTTAAGTCCATAACATTTGTTGAAAGGCGCAATTACTTTGAAATAATAATAATTAATTTTTGTGATATAGAGCCCAACTAAAATAAGCAATACGAGAACGACTTATACTCACATTGTCAATTTTGTTATATACGATTTGAGTTAACTCTTTACAACTTCCAATTTTTAAAAAAATATGCCGTTTCTAGGGCAGATATCGGGTATGTTTATCTACTGATATCAGGCAAATCAATCAAGCAAGTCACTCGGAAACACGAAAAACACTCACTGCACTGATTGAAATTAGAGAAAGGAGACAACCGCACGTAGAGGCCAACGGAGGGCAACTAACGGAGCCGAAATTCCTATTCCGATTTCATAATTCTCTTTACTCTTTACTCTCTCGCTCTCGAAAAAAGTGTTATCTGCAGACTGATAAGGGCTTATCGCATAATTGCCCGCTGATTGCCGTCAGGTAAATTTCACTTGGTCGCCTCTCACGCATCAGTTTTCTCTGGCCAAACATTTGCTCCGACCGGAGAGGTGTTCTCCCGCTACCGTCAAGTTGTCGAAAAGTTGGTTTTGTTTGTGTTTCCTATCGCCGGATAGTACAGGTTTGTCAAGTTCTTTAATTGACTACCTTATCGAGTGCATCGACTGGGGAAGTGCAGCAGCAGCAACCATTCGGGTGGCCAGGCTACGTTCCCTGCCAAAACTCATGATGAAACCGACAACCGAGTCCCGGGAAATATCATAAAGGAGTTTGAACAGCCACTGCAATTACTTTCCAACTCTCGACTTCGCGCTCCATATATCCGCACTATAATGCTCATAAATATAAACTAAACTCATGCGAGTGGCCGCTCTGAATTTATATGTACGGACATATCCCTCGGTCGGTCCGTTTGTCCGTTTGTCCGTCCATCAGTCTGTGTGTCTGCAGGGCCATTACACAAATACCAACGCTCGTGGGGAAAACGGAGAAAATGGAGACCAATGAGCTTGCCACGTAGCCAAAGTATCGATGAGTTTCGAGTGGGTGACTTTGTGGGGTCGTGTGACCGGACAGCCGTTCTCAGCCGTGGCCATAACATGGACACTCTCTCGCCGGTCTATGGTTTATATACTATACACTATATACTATATAGAAAGCAATCCTATATAGAACTGGTAAATAACCGATAAGTGCTGGCGAAGGAAAGCTGGGTTTTGTGGGTTTGTTTGTCATTGTGCCATCAAATTATAATAAGCGACTATTTAGTGGTAAATGTGTGTCACTTTACATACGGCTCAGTCTCTGTCTGTCTCTTTCCCACCCCTTCCCAAGAATATAATTATTGGGTTGTAGGGTGGACAATTGGTTTTTACCTGCTTCGGCCGGAATCAAAAAAGGGAAAAATCGAAAATTCATTTATCTATTCAGGGCTTGAGTTACAAAATTCTATTCATAGGCTGACTAATCAAGTAACATTTTTTATTCAGACCAGTGCTCAAGATAAAAAATACACAAGAGTAATAATAATTAAATGTATTATTTTGATAAAATCAAAGTTATATAGTTTCTTGACTTCATTCACAAAAACTTTCCTTCAGCTAACTATCAGTAGATAAGAATTGCGTGCCATATTTTCAAAGAATTTATCAACAATGTGAAATAGCATTAGAATTTCTAATCCAGACTATTTAATCATTCTTTTATAAAGAAGACCAAGTAAATTTACTTAATCAGAGGCACCCATTAAAGAAGTTACACAAAAACGATGTGTATACACACTGCAATCGGGCTATATATAACCCTCATCCCAGCAAATTAAGGCCAAATATAAATTAACGAAGTACACCAAAAAGTTCTGATACCAATCTACTGCTTATCGGGAGCTAGCGTCTGTACCTAACTGTTTACCGATTTATCTAATCTGAGATTCTTATCTCGAGCAATTACTCCTCACTTCCTCCAATGAAAAGTGCCCCTAACCCCCCTAAACCCCCATCCAATTCTATCCGCAACGCGTGTCTGTGTGACAGATACAGTGGGTCACGTCTGCTCCTATCCACCCACAGGTACAGTGGGTACCAGTAAATGGCCGCCATAAAAAGTCATCCATTGAGATCCAAGATATATGTTGGTGTAACCGTATATGGATAGCTACTTTTGTCCATTCATTGCCCTTTTTACACGCTGAAAAATCTTATAATAAAATATTTTCTTTCATCAATTTTAATATTTTAAGACACTTAAATATTTATTATGTTTGATTAATAGTTTCGGTTCCACGCTTAAAATTTAATTATTTAACTAAGCATGTCCCTGTAAGCTTGTTTTATAGTATATTCTCAAAGTGTTCATGTATGGCAACTAGTAACCCCTTTTGTTCTTGCAGTTCGATTTTTTGTGTCGGCCCTTCCGTTTGGGGCTGGCCCAAACGGCGATCAATATTGAATTGAATTTGAGCAACGGTTATGGCCACGATTCGGCGGCGTCCTCGGCCCGACTTTTGACTGTCTGCGGGCAAGCGTGTTGGTTAAGCGGAAAATGTTATTTAATAATTTACACCAAAGCATTTCGGTAACAGAAAATACTCGCAACTGAAATTGTTTGTGGAGTCGAAGTATTAAACGAAATATGCCCCAACATCAAGCATTTCACCCTGGTCGCAGCGAGAACCCTTCAATTCCAATAACATTATTAGAAACTCAACTGGAAAATCGAAGTTGAAGAAACCTCAGGAATGCGGTTGAAAATGCAACAAAAGCCAAAACACAGTTTAGTGGTTGAATAACGACAACAGCAGGAGCCAGGACATGGTCGTAGTCCTCGGTCGTTTGGTCGCTTTGGGTAGAACGGGTGACTTAGACCGATGGATCGACCGACGGACCGACCGACCGACCGACAGACAGTGAACTACTAATAAAGCCAGGTGAACGCAGGTGGAGAGCAGAGACGCCAGCCGAGGCAGACAAAAGGAAGCACAAATAATATAAATTAAATGTGGGGAAAGTTGCCCCATTTCCTCCGGCTCCGCCGTCGCCCACTCAAAAGAAAAGCAAGCTGAGTAATTATTTCCGGCAGAGTGGGCAGGAGAGGACCGTAGGGTCCTTGCGGTTTGACTGCAACACATGGCCGGACACTTAAACCGAAGTGTGGCAAACGGGGTTGGAAAATCTATCTGGGCAATAATTTCGGTTGACATGCTTGCGGTAATTATTGACCGTAATGACAAAACCGTATACGAATACGGTCAATGGTCAACGGCAAATGGAAAATGTAAGCCGAGGAAGCCCAAACCAATCCCGAAACCCTGACAAATTGCTTTAGTTTTTTGGGGTCATCTGCCCGGCCAGTGGGTTTTGTGTGCGCATTTATTTGTGTTTCGTCTGCTAATTGGATGCCGTTTTATGGACCCGAGCTGGACACCAGCTGACTGGGGATCGGCATAAATTCATGCGCACCTACTTCTAAGCAAATAAAAATTGTCAACGACATCGCACTATAAACAAGCGAATCGTGAACCATAAGTTAAATCGGTTTCTTTTATTTGCATTTGATGCGCAAGATTTATGGACCAATGGCCTATATATAGAGATTCTAATGGAACGGAGCTGTCGAACACAACACAAGCCCGAGAGTTTGTCCAAAAACTAATTAATAATTTTTCTATTGCTTATTTTCGGATGGCTCTCTTCGCTATCTATGTTTTTCCTATTTTTCCACGATCTATTTTCCGATTTTTTTTGTGTTTTCGCTAAATTCATTTCAATGCCGGCTATTTTTGTTGCAATGTGGTCCACATGTTGGGCGTTCAGGGGGTAATAAATATTGAATGTGACCGGCAGAATATCCCGAAAATTTGTTCACCAAAGATCAGCTGGAATTTCTTCAAGTTTAAGTGGCTTATGTTTAGCCGAATAGGTTTCACTTAGCAATTCACTTACTTCAACGGCAATTGGCTCTAGTTATGTGGCAGAACTTCCGTGGACTAGAATGATTTCTTTTGTGTGAAAAATTGCTCGAGTGATTGTGTTTGCGAAGATCCAAGATCCCAGAAGACACACGACCGATGACGAGGAGACCGTGGATCGCGTGAGTTGAGCGACAAATGAATTCACTTGATGGGTGAAGTGCGAGGTCAAATCTCTCTTGGATGCCGCAATGCGAACGCACTCGCAGATACACCACTTTCAGATACAGATACAGATATGCACACGACGCACTGCAGATACAATCAACAAACAATAAGCGAGCCAAATTTACAACACATGAGATGTTATTTTATTATTATTATATTTTTTGACGCAATTTACTGGGTAAGTAAATAATTGCTTTAAAACAAGGTTTTTTATTGTTATCATATATTTATAATATTTTCTCAGAAAGCTTTTTATTTTTATTTATACCTAGGACGACAATCGGTATTTATAACGAATTATTTATACTTTCTTGTAAAACTTTTTGAAATAAATAAATATTTATTTTAAGACATTAAAAAAAGTTTAGAAATTTATATGTTGTATGGAACTTCAATGTTAAATATATTTTTTTAATTTTGTAGTTTACTTGAGAAGCACTTCACTTAGGAAATTATGTTAAATATATAAATCTTGTTTCTATACAACATTTTGTAACTCAATTAATTAAAATTTAAATTATTATTTTTGCATATATTTTGCTGTACTCTACATACATTTTTTTGAATTATTGAGATCAGTTGGCACTTTTACACTTCCCTATTCACTTTTATGGCTAGAATTTCCCCGCTTTTGAGCAGGCACTGCAAGTGACATGATTTCCAAAAAAACTGCACTGGGCCACAAAAATATTATTTCATATATATTGCACTTTATATCTGTGTGTTTTCTCTTCGGGCGTGTAAAAGTGAAAATACGAGTGGGCGGCGACGAAGCGGCGGCGACGACGATGCGCGCGATTTTCTCGCGTGGGGCTGGCGGAACGTTCAAGATGGCACTGCCACGGCGATCCACGCCGATCGACTTGACAGTCCATGGAGCCGCCCAGCGGACCCGTCGTTATTTATTCCGGAATATAAATTAAAAATATATACAATATTTAAGAAATAAAAATTATACAAGGTATATTTATTTAGAAATTAATTGAATTTTCCGGGGCAGTGGTGAGGCCGGTGAACCGGTCGTGTTGACCATAATTTAAATCAAAACACAAATTAATTTGACGCTCCTCTCTCACTGCACTTGCTGCTCTGTTTAATTTCTCAAGTTTTTGCGGAAAACTGTCACCGAGTGCCACCGGAGGGGAAAAATAAAAAGCGGACGTCATTCAAAATTTGAGTAAAAGGCCGAATTTCATCGGTTCTCAGACTCAGCAGTATCCGATCGATTTGCCGCTTTTACGAGCTGTCCAAGCGCAAACAAACCAAAACCATAATAGAACATATGTTTTCCTTTTACTTTTTCGTATGGTCCAGTGTTTCCCCGCCATCTAGGTGAGTTTCCTCTTATTATTTTTATTTTCCTGTGACACGTTGTCAGGCGGATTAGTTTGGCCGTTAGTTTGACAGGCTCTATAAGTAGACACTTAAGTGGGTGGCAATCTAATTTGGCTGCGCTGCTCGAACAATTTGAATATTGCTCGGGGGATTAATGGGTGTGGATATGACCCATTTGGATTGCATTCTATAAATTATATGAATGCAGAATGCTTTTCCTTTTTTGTATTTGGAAAATAAGTAGTAATAGGCAACAGTCTATTTATAAATTTTAATATACTTTAAAATATTGTGTGTTGTTTATTTTTCGAATTAAATTATTTTAAAATTTTTAAACAACTTTTGTATTTGTGTTTTAATTGTTGTTGTTGTTGTTATACAAAAAAAGTTTAATTTCATTTTAATATAGATTCTATAACTTTCTATTACAAATCTGGAAAATAGTCTATACTTTGCTAAATTGAAAATACCCAGTCCAAAAATTTGCTGTTTTCCGTGTGCCTTTCTTCCCACATGGGAGATTTCCCATACAGCTTTCCATTGCTGTTCATCGATCATACATCATCCCGACAAGTTCATTTCTTCTCCCCTTCCCCCTTGCTCAGAACAAAAGATCTTTCTTTATCCCCAGCAAGTGGCATTGTTAGGGATCCGAAAAAGGCTAAAAATAAATAAAATAATAAATTTGTAATTATTCAGGGCACTTTGAGTGTCAAGCTCAAAGTCAATGGCTGAGAGTTCCTTAAACCGTTTGCTATTGCCATTTTACATCCAGCTTAATTTTAGGGAAGACGGGGAACCGAGAAAAAGGAAAACAAAAAGTAAACATATAGCCTTTGGCCATGTTCGAGCCAGTCAAGTTGTCTCTATTAATTTGGGCCTTTGCCGGTTTTTGGTCAAATAATTATCAGCAGATAAAACCCATTTGGAGCTTAAAAAGTTACGACAATTAAGATACCTTGTCTATGTATGTACCACATTAAATTTTATTAAACCCTAAAAATAACCGATATAATCTCGTTTTTTTTTATTTTAAGCTATTGTATTGTATAAAACTTTTTTTTATTTATATATATAATTTTAAATATTTTTTTTCTCTACGTTGTGCTATTTTTTGTTTTTAACATATATTTGTTTGTGGATAAATTAAAAATAAAATAATAAGAAGTTTTTTTTTTCCTTTTTCTTTTTTTTTATAGTAATTTGTTAAACAAATTTGGATCCAACTTAGAGACCCGTCCAAACCAAAAACTAAAGAACTAATTAAATGTACTTTCTTAGATGTATATTGCAAATCATATGATTGTTTGCAGTTGTACCAAAGAAAATTGTTTTCTTTTAGGTTACAGGCTTGGACAAGGATTTCTTAATGGACTCAACAAAATCAAATTACAGGGTATGCAAACCCGCAAGCGGCCAGCATAAATTTGCACGTGTTTCGAATGAGTGGAAACTTTCCTTTGGCAAACTTCGTGGGCAATCACCAATCCCACAAACTCAACCCCATGGATAGTTTTGTGGGCGTTTAAAAATGCGCGACCGCATTCATTAGAGCAAATGCCTTAATACTTGGCCAGTCGAAACTGATGAATGGCAGCTTAAGAACCCGGGAATCGGGATCCAGAACTTCCCCGACTTCCACTCCGTACCCACGGCATTTGTTTGTTTGCTTGACTTTGGGCTCTCGGGTCTTGGATTAAGTTTTCTCGCCGGGCAAAGTTTCGGCTTCCTCCGGTAACACACCCCCAACAGATTTGTGTTATCGTCCCGGCTGCATACTTTTGCCGCTCGGTGTCGAGCAGCTGCGAGTGCATTTGCCATTGCATACTTTCGGGCATCTCGGGCGAAAATATTTCCTCGCCGCTATTGGAATTTGCAAATATTCTTATAAATTATTATATCAAAGTTCGGCATTACTTATGGCTGGCTGGCTTCGACAGTAAACTTTGCATTACTTTGCGCACTTTCCTGCAGTTCGGCTCACTCTCTCTTACTTGACACTTTAGTGTAATTAGTTCTCGAGCGGTTGCAGCTTTGCGGGAAAATCTCTTTGGCTTCGGGAGGGGCGGGAAATACACTGGTTTGAGTTTTCCATGTTTTTGCGGCTTTTTCATGCCCTTTGATGTGGCAAAAATTTCAATTAATGCAATGCAAAATACTTTCAAACCCCCCCTGCTCTACTTATTATCCATGGATTAGGAAAATCGCTCATGTGCCCCCAGCAAAGATTGCGTAAGATTCCGAACTAATGTATTTGTTTATGCTTGATTAAGCAGCCTGAAGGTTGGTCTACAAATATTCAACTTTGATGGTGTTTAAACGACTGTCATATGTATGCGTTTATAAAAGTATTTCAAATTAATCTATCTCTGTAAATGCAATGTTATACAATGTTTTACAAATTAAAAACTGAGAGATAAATTAAACCAACTGAATACAAAAACTTGTAATTTCCCAATTTTAATTCAGCTAGGTACCAATAAAAATATAGACTTTCCTTAAAATATGTTTTTTTGTGATCTAAACTAACCTTTTGTTTTTAACTTACACTGTCTGTTCTAATATGGAAGTTGCATTTTATCATATTTAACTACTATTAAACATTTTTAAAAAATTGGTATACAAGACAATAAATTATAATCATTAGTTTGTACTACTTTCTTTGCAAAACAATTTTTTGGTTGAAATTGTAAGATAAAAAGTCAAGCAATTTGCACTAAAAACTAACTTTTTGTGGAGTTTTAAAGAAATTATACTTGACACTTTTCAATTAGTAAAGAAAGTTAATTTTAATTGTGACAGTAACACGTTGTTGCTATCGCCACCCAGCCCAAAAAACCAAGAACAACACGGATAAGTTTGCCAGGACAATACAAAAGCCAGGCAAACTAAGGCCGAAGTCAAGGAGCGCCCTGGGAGCCACAAAATGTCAAAAGAAAACTTTTCTGGCCAAGATTAATTACAATTGAAAACAAATGAATGCAAAAACGATAAGCAGCCGAAAGGATTTCCACAGCAAGTAAGGAAGCGGGGGTTGGGGTGAGAGCCAAATGGAAATGAAAACCCAAAACTCAACTTTGCCAATCAAGATAGAAGGGGGAGTGAGACGGTTGAAAGAGCTCTCATCAGAGGAATGGTGTTGAAATAAATGTTCACACCTACAACAGAAGCCAGTAATGCGAAGGGCATTAGCCGCTCACTTAAAAAAAATGCAAGTCTTATTTTTGAGTATCAGAATACAGAAAAGAAAAATAAATGTTGTTTATCTATGTATTAAATCAAATTAATTAAATCAAAGCATTAAGAAATATATTTTTCAAAATCTTTTGAATTGCCATTTATTACAGAAAACAATTTGTTCAATTAAATATTTTACATATTTACAAATATTTTAATTTGATTAAATAGTGAAATATTTATAAATATATTCCTTAAATAAACAAATTTTCTCCAATCATGCTTTTCCAAGTGTTGGTGACAACAGTTGGCTAGTTGATTTTTTTGGGACTCGAACTTTTGACCGAAGGAGGTGGCAGTTTTGGAGAATTTGGCTAGCTGGGGAAATATTCTGCTGGGCGACGACGTGACCTGTTTAGTTTTAGCAGACAGTTTCTCTATTTCGGTTTAGTTTTAAGTTTTTCATTGGGTGTGGGTCTTTGTTGGTGTAGTGCCAGTGGTCAATGGGCCAGCATTAGCACCACTTAACCCGCAGTGCAGTGTTTTTCCTGTCGAAAGCTGCCTTGCTAAAGTTTTCGTGCATAAATCATGAAATTAATTAATTTTGACACACACTCCCCTCAGTCGCTCTCTTAAAAAGTAGCGCCATAAGCAACTTTGCCATCAAAGTGTTTTATTCTTTTTTTTTTTTTGCAGCCGCTCCTCTTTGCCAGAAATTAAAAGTAGAATTGAGAAGTGAAACATCAACACCAACAACAACTAAACGGGGAAAAACTTGCCTTGCCACGCAAACTTTTCCAACGTGGAGCGGGGAGCGGAAAACGGAGAAAAAGAAATCAAGTTTGAAATATGTGCAAAATTCATTCAGTATTTGAAATATTCCCAACTTGCTATAAGTTTCGTATGTTTCGCCTTTTTTCTTTTTTTTTCTGTTTTTTGCAGTTTTTTGTTGCTGCCAAAAATAAAACTTGCGCCGTGAGTTTAATTTTATTCATGCTGCTAAGTGAGTGTTGAGTGAGTTTCCTGGAAAAAAAACTGAAGGTTGAGCGACAAGCTCAGGCAAAACTTTGCGCCCAAAATGTTTCACTATTTAATTGCATAATTTGAGAGCGCACTGAGATTACACCTGCCAGGAATATAAGTTTTTATGGAACTGCGATGGACAAAGGTGTGTAGGTTGATATCAAAATGTGATATTAAATGTTGACCTAAAGTCAAAATAAATTTATAAATGTATTATATTAAGGTGCTTTCACAGTGATTGCAATTGGTTTTTCATTGCAATAAAATATACCTTCTGAACGGGGTTTTTCAAATATACAGAAAAATATTCCGAATAAGATATTGTTACCATTATCGTATCCGCGAAGCAAGATGAAGTAGTTGTTGTTTTAATATTATTAAAACCCATCAGAGAAAAGAAAATAGAGAATTATATTTTTTTTTTTTGCAAACTAAATATAAGATTTATTAAAATCTAAAATGAAACAATTAATCCCATCGCAGCTTAGGCTCAGAAAAGTTCAAATACATATTCCCACAAGGTGTCGTTGTCAGCGTCCCGCTCCTGTTTATCCAAATCATCGAGCTTCTTTTTTAGCTTTTTTAGCTGCGACTCATCGCTGAAGATGGCCTTGAAAACGCGTGCAGTAAAGTTATCGTAGATGCCGAGCTTCTTAAGAAGACGAATGATTTTCTTTTCGAACTGGTTGAACTGCTGTCGAAGGGCAGGTGCGTCTTCGGATAGAGCTCCATTCTGAGTTGTTGGCATTTTAGTTGCACCAAGGAATTCGTCATTCCTCTGCAGAAGTCTTAACATATTGAATGCCTTGATTTTTTCGTCCAGTTGAGAAATTGGAAGCTTGGCTGCCCGCCGAAGGTTTATGTATTGAGAAGGAAACTCTCCGGTCCTTGAATCGTGAAGGCTTTCTTCTAAGCGGGCCGTGACAATATCGTTTAGCTTTGTAAGTGGATCCGGAGAGATCTTTTTCTGGCTCTGGATCCCGTTGGACATTAGAAGAATAGTTGCGAAAACTAAAAATGCCATGGTTTCTTTCTGACAACTGCTTGGTTCTTCAACGGATCAGTGGCTTTATAAAGCGCCTTAGTTGTAGCGATAATCATGAGTTATGTCTACCTGACAAGCAGTAAAAAGGTAATTAAAATTTTTTAAGGGAATGTTGCAGATGAGTAAGTTATGGAGGTCTAAGCTTTATTATCAATTTATGAGTTGGGTTGGCTCGAAAAAGATTTACGACTCTATTTACTGACACAGAGTCGGATATTTTTGTTGTATGATTTCGAGGCTATTTGCGGTTTAAAACTATTAATTTCTGAAATTAATAATGGGTACTAAGGCGCTCGACTGCATTCCATCTTGTCTTAAGATATTTTCTTAAATAAACTTATGATATAGCAAAATATTTATTGGATATTATGAGTATAAAAATTAATATGGAGTTCGACAGGACTGCAAACGTTTAGCTAGCTAAAAAAAACTGCATTTAAGACCATCCAATGGTTCCATATCGGGCAATTAAGCAAATGCAGCGAATGTCTTTTACGGCTGGGGAATTGAAAAGGCAAATACAGGAAGAGGGTGGTGCAGCTGGGGGATGCGAATAAAATGCAAAAACATTAAGCCGGGCCCAGAACTCGGTTCTGAACAGACCAAACTTCGAATGCAAGGAAAAGCAGCAACTGTGACAATGTAAACAACAGCGGAAAGAACTGGTGACTGGGGAAGGGGCAGGGGAAGTGGAAGTGGGTTGATGGGTGGTTGATGGGTGGTTCTGGGGAGTGGTAAAAAGTGCATACAAAATTGCCAAGTAGGGGAAACAAAAGAAACAAAAACGACGCCGTCAGCTGCAACGCAAAACTGCAGCTAACCGAAAATGGTAATGGCCTGCCATGGGTGGCTAAAAGGGGGGGCTGACTGTTTCAGCTTAATGCGAAAATCTTGTTGCACGCCGCCTGCAGCAAACGATTCGGCCTCCAGACCATGGCGAAAAGTCTATTGTTTCACAATCATAATTCTCCTGTAAGCCGTCGGTTGAAGGGCTTACAGGGGAGAGGGGGCACTTTCCGGGGTGGTGGGCTGCAACTTGCTGCAGGAAATGAACATCATTAATTTTGCCATTCTGCATTTGCATTGGAAATGGCATTTCAATATTCGCTTCGCTTTCAAGATTGCCAAAACCATTTTCCACGCAGCCAAACAACCTCCATTCAAGCCATCGCCCTGTCCCGCTCACTCCGATTATCGCCCCGTCCCGCTCACTCTCTCTGACGGCGGCTTGGAAAAACTTTCAACTGCTGTGCGCGATTGCCGCGACGTGACTTAATTTCCACCGCCGGCAGGCATACAGCTAAATATTTGTTCTATTCGAAGAGGGAGGGGATTTTGGGCAGGGGTTAGTTAGACTTACACTGCGATAAAATGGGGTATTGTATAAAGCTTTACTATACCTTACTTGTATGCAGGTAATCATGATCCCACTTTAATGGAACTCACTTTTTAATGCTAATCAAAATTGCAATTTCAATTTTATTTATTTATGCAATGCTCATTAATAGCTTTTGATAACATTCCTTCGAATTTCGTAACACTTTAAAATGTAATGTTTACATATCTGTAATGATTTATTTTTATTACTTTTAATCGCATAAAATTCTCTTTATTTTATTTTACGGAATTCTTAAATATTGTAACGATTGTATCGGTATGGCAACGGACTTAGTAACTAAATCAAAAGCTTTAAGAACCGTCGCTTAAAATATGTATAGGACCTTAGGTACCTTATATATGAAATAATTTTTTTTAAATAATCTTGAAACATTTTTTTTTGCCGGTGTATTCCTCACTTTGAGGATTTATCAATATATGGACATGTCCTGATAACTCTGTCGATGGGAATTGCGGCACGTAGAGCTCGACACTCAAGTGTCCAAGTGCTGAAAAAGCCGTGCATAAAAACTAACACGTACGCACCGATCCGATCCGAACTAAACCCTAAGTGGGGGTCAATTGGCGGAGGGAAGGGCCATGGCCTTGTTCCGTGGCTAGCTGGGGCTAAGCCAGTCCATATTAGATATATACTATATACATAGCTGGTAGTCCGGCAGTGGGCTTGAGAGCGAAAATCAAAGCTAAGCACTTTCAATTGGATTTATGCGTTTGCGATGTGCCCAAAGATGCGAATCGGAATCGGAATCGCGTGCCCAGCTGGCTAATGTCTCAATTTCTCTGGCTATAACCCAGCTCTGCAACCCCGCAACACCCCATCCAAGCAATCGCCCTCCCTCACAATAGACTTTCTTATTAATCAGCACAAAAAGTTTGCCGCACAAACTTGCAATTCTGCCGATAAGCAAATAGCCCAAAAAACTGTTTACACAACGCATACATGGCCAATTATCCCTGCGCCAGTTTGCGTGCCTGTATCTGTGTGCTCATGTGTGTGTTTTTGTGTTTGAGACTCGAGTGCCTTTGGTTATTAAGTTTTATGATCAGTTTGTGTTTTGCGTTGAAACGATTTATTTAGCTAAGCGGAATTAATTGGAATTTTACGTGTTGATTTCCCTCACACTCACATAAAAGGAAACTCCTTGAGGACAGTCATGAAATCCTCTTGTGCGGTGAGTCTGCCTAATCTATTACAAAATTTAAATGAATGAAAATAACAGGCTGGGAAAAATGCAAACAGTTATATGTTCTATGTTTTTTTAACAAGCCTCGAAATAACTATGTTTATATATATTGTAGTTTATTTATGCAATGCCAAAAAAATCAAACAAAAGCTTTGTATACTAGCAGTTTGATAGAAATTTAATTTAAAAATCAGATGCAATTAAAAAATTCCTCTCGAAGGTTAAAGATAAAATTTTTTACTACGAAATATACCATTTAAAATTTTTTTTTTATTTTTACAAACGAGTCCTGACCACGTTTGAAATAAATTTGCGCTGCTTAGGCATAATTTGAATTCGCATGTCAAATTTCTAGGTTTTATATATAAGGACGGACAGACAGCCGGTCTTGTCTATGGATCCTGAACATAAATATATATATTTTACTTCTTATTTTGTACTTTAAATGCATAATATATAAAAACATAATCTTCGAAATAAGTTACAAATATAAGACCAAAGTTAGATAAATCTGTGCAAATTTAATAATACCCAAACATTGTTTATACTTTCCCACTTAGTTTACCAATTAATTTACTTATTCCTCGATCCAAAGAATTTCTGAAACGGTTCTTGTCCTTATCCAGATCAGGCTTTTTTGTTTCCACGGCATGAAAAATTGATGACCGCTTGTGACCGTTCACTTCAAAGCGGTATTTGTTCCTTCGCCATTTTGGGCGGAAACCGCAGTTAATGCCGGCAACAAAAGCGACCCAAAACCAAATCGCTTAGCAAACAATGGCGATGCCCCCAAATCCCCATCCCGCATACCGAAAAATTCCCCTCACGACCACACATCATATGCGATCCAGCAGCTGGGCAGTCCGAAATGCTTTATGCGATTATTTGCTGAAATGTTGCAAGAGCGGGTTTCGTTATTTATTTGTCTTGGGGCTCGGCAGTTTCTTTCTCTATTTTGGGCAAAGTTGGGGGGCATTAATAAACATTCCTGTGGCCGGCAACAAAAAATTGTGGCATATTTCATGTTTGCTCCAGGAGCTTTTCTTAGGACGACGGATCAGAGTCGCTCAAGTGTTAAAATTTCCAGGCTGGGGATTTGCATGACAGAAGGGGATAGGTTGGGAAAAGTGGTTGTAGTGCCAGCCACATATACCTTTATTGAAAACATAATACGCCTTTCGCATACACGGTTTCCATTTCATTGCTTTCGGTTTCGGTTTAGGTTTCGGTTTCTATTCGATTCGATGCTGTCCTATTGAATTTCATTCTGTTTTGTGAATTTTTTCGACTGGCGCGTGACAAAACTCAACTTATACCGGCTTTGAAATTTACTTTGCCTGGCTTATCCGGAGGATGTATGTGTCTTCGGCGGACTTTCAGAGTAGTAATGGAGCAAGGCCCAAAGAGTGGATCCTAAGCCAACTGTCCAGTGCGTTTTTTACCGCTTCTCCCGTTCGAGTGGCTGTCAAAAACGCTTCTGGCCAAGAGCCATCGCAACTGGTCAGAGTCGGGGTTCATCGATGGGAGTCAGCCATGTCAATGGCCCTAAAATGGCTGAAGGATAAAAAAGGGGGATTTACGGAAATGGAGGCCCAGGACACAGGGCACCCAGTCAACAGGGGCACTCAATCTTATAGGAATATACAAATTTAAGGTGGCTAATAATCTGAAAACTAAATACAATGATTGATTAATGTTAAACTTTATATATAAACTTGAAGAAATTAAAAACACAGCTCTCAATCAATAACTTTTACTTGCGGAGATATAAAAATTTTGTATGTACACTCGTATATGATGTATAATTATCTTAATTAAGCCATCATATACATATATCTTGAAAAGCTCATTTTTACCCTTACAATAAATCAAACGTAGCTTAAATAGTGAGTAAAGCGTCCCTGTTTATCTGAAAAACCAACCATCATTATTTCTAAGCCTTTAACATTTACAATTTAATTTTTATCATTTATTTATTAGTCTTTATTAAACACTTTTAGGTAACATTTTTCAATATAATGTATTTCGTTTAAGTCGCGCAACCACTAGGCGTTCTTTCCTTCTAGAAATTTTGTCTGATCACATTAGCAATGCAAAACCCTACGCCCTCGACTGTCCCCAGGTAATCCTTTTACAACCTGTGCCCTAAGTAAACAATCTGCGCACTTCATTTGCCCAGCAAGAGAAAGCATTTACAAGCTGAAAATCTCTGACAGCTTACAAGGAAATTTGGCAAAAAATTTTTAAGAAACACAACTTAATCGAAAACTTTTTTCCTTGAAAAACTCTTTGGAGGGTTTGTCATTCTGAGTTTTCCCAGCTTGAGCTTCTGTCCGAGCAATGAAATTAATGCACAAAGTTTGCTGTTTGTTGTGGTGGCCGGAAGAGGGAATAAAC